AATTCCCCTCCAGTCAAAAATTGCCCTGCTACTTACATTTTTATTTTGAGAAAGCTGTTTTAAAATGAAGAAAAGAAGAAGAGAAGAAGGTAATTTGTCTCATCATCTTGAAACCCCTATTAGCCAGGACCAAATTTCTTGAACTGGCTAGATTTTTTGTCATGAAGTGTGGGAAAAAGGTGTGTAGCAATGAACCATGTCTTTATGTTAATTTAAAGTGTTCTCATTTTTATAGATTTGAGAAGGGAAATTGCGAGAACTGGTGATGTAGGAAAACAGTTAGACCTTTATACCGAATTGGGTGAACTTCAACGATCTAATGGCGACTACGAGTCAGCAGTGGATTCGTACAAGGAAGGTGAGTTGCATGTGATTTGATCGAATTCTATAAAGAGCAGGTTTAAATCTTTTTCTTGCAGCTGCTCAACTTGCCACAGCCCTTGGCAACCACTTTGATCTTTCCTTCGTTTACAGAGCTTTAGCAGAAATTCATGCCGAAGAGGGTCGGTTCTGCTACTTTGCGAAGACCACTACTTATGTTACCTTTTAGGGGAACGAAAGCAAGCTTTAGAATACATCAATCTTTTTCGACAAACTGCGCAAATGAGTGAAAGCTGTTCTCAAATTCAATTGTCTTTGCATGTTACTGGATGGATCTATGAAAAATTAGCTATGCAGCAATCGAACAATCCAGCTGATTTGGAAGAGGTAAGACTTTAATGTATGGAATATCAGCTTGTTCTACTTATCTTTATAGGCTTTATCGTGGTGCGTAAAAAGTATAGATTATATCAAGAAAACTGGACACAGAATTGACGCCGACAAGAAGGCAGTGAGAATTGGAGGAGACTCTGCGAGAAGAAAAGCTGGTTTGGTTAGTATTATTTCCATTTTATTCAAGACCTTAGTGGATGGTTTAGGAAAGGCTGTGCTCTGGAATATGCGCAAATCTTCAACGACGCGTTGAAGCGGAGAAGTTTTGGAATTTGGCGTATGCTTATGCGAAGTGAGCTGAAGTTTATCTTTTGTTTCCTTATTCTTATCAGTTGCTTACCTCTTTCTGTATTTTTCTCATCTGGTTATTTTATTAACTGTTTTTTCTTGTAATTCTATCTTTAGCACCCTGAATTTGGCAGTCTTCTTATCATTCATTTTAAAATCAAGGCCTTTAAGTAGGCGGAAGACATGTTTGTTCGCAATTTTTTTCTGTTTCTGAAATTATAAGTGATGTTGCGAGACGTTGTTGGTGCATTCATGTTCAATTCAGTGATGTTGAGAAAACACTTTTGTACAGATGCTTATAATGTCCCAAAAACTATAGATTTATCTATTGTTATTTTCTATCGCAGGCGAAGCCAAGACATCGAGCTTGAATATCAGCTTCTTCTGGCTCGGATAGACTTCTCCTGGGAATCGCCATTGAAAAACGCTCAAAGACTAGTCAACTTTGCACCTTCAAAGAGGAAAGGCCTAGCAATAATGGAATTGGCGCAGGTAATCAGTAAAGTGTCCTCCTCTTCTTTTTTTCTAATTTTTCTATGGTCAGGTTCTAATGTTCGCTGGCGATTTCCTGGCTGCACAAAATGCCCTTTTTGAATGTTTATTGCATAACAAATCGACTTTGGCCCCCGATGATGCTGAACTCCTTGACGCTCGAGTAATTTTTTGTAAGTTTCCCATCTCAGTGGAAATCTATGTAGATCTATCTCACTTTTTTAGTGTACAAGTATTTCAACAGATTGGACCGGGCAAGAGATCCTAGCTGCTCTCGCAGTGAACGACGGAAGATGTACGAGCTTATTGCAGACTCTTTCTGCTCTTATGGGTGAATATGTTGTCTTCATAATCAAACCTCTTGAAAAGTTACTGAGCAAATTTCCTATATCATCCAATTTATTATTTTAGAGGCGACAGGAAGGAATTATTAGAACATGCTGTGAAATACTATA